ATTAATTCTTTTAATAAATGTTTTTACTTTTCAAAGGATTTGGAAAACAGTGTGGGTGAGCTTAGTGAAGGACAAAGACCCGGGCTGACAGCAGCAGCAGAGAACATCTTAAGGGGGCAGCCTTTGTATATGCAGCAGCCGGTTGCTAATGCAGAGTCTTTGGATCAACAGTGTGATCCTAGGCTATTATTTCAGCAGTCTGACACAGTTTCAGGTATATGTTACAATGTTATTTCTTGATATGTCATCTATAAAATACTTACTTTATATCTCATTATACTTTCTTTGTACACTTTCCATGCTGAATGCTATATTCTATTTTGTAATACACTCTATAGTAGTCTTTCTAATGTGAATTGAGGAAAGTATAACTACTTCCAGATGGAGGCTTGAAAAAATTTCTTTGTTAAAAGTAATAACTTTTTCTATGATATATATGTTTTCTTGAATGTGACTCATGTCAGTGTTGATACATGCACCATTTAGTGGTACATGAAGTAGTTTTGGTGATATACCAAAATTTTAATATAGATGCACTTATTTTAATATATACTAGAAAAATATAGCCAACTCATGAAAACTAATAGATATTGTTTAGGACAAGGTTCAATGAGATAATAATGTTGTAAGAATTCATTCTTTACATTGTGTGATTTTTCAAGATACAGTGTTCAGTATACTTGGGACTATTTTAGAAAGTAACTAAACTTTCTGTTGTAGCATTTGGAAATAAGGATAAAGTAGAATATAAAGCACTAGCATATATAACTCTCTTATTTGTAGTAGTTATATTTTATAAGGTCACCATGAACATGTTAGCAAATATTGGACCATTGCTCCTAGGAGAAATACGGGGTTAGGTTCCTGTAAGCCTCTGGTCGTGGCAGTGTTGTCAGTTGGTCATAACCTAGTTTCATGTGTGTTTCTTTTTAAAGACAACCTTATTTAATATTGATTAACTAATACTGAAGTCACAACCAACAGCACTGTAACTCATGCCTGAAGAAAGCTTATCTAAACACACATATTTTCTCCATAAGACACAACACAGCCTTCTTGTGTTCAGGAACATTAAACAGTACCTTGATACTTTTAAAATAGCTTGTGGCCGTTTTACATAAACAAACAAAAAAAAGAAAGAAGCCAAAAATGTGGCATTAAATATACTGTGAAAAAGTCACTTGTTTATAGTGTAAGTTGAAATAAGATCGAGTATCTTTGTTCAGCCTTAACTGAGAAAGTACATGTTGGGTAATTCAAGTTTTTTAACACTTGGTACAAATCCTTGAAAGAAAACAAAGATAATGCAAATATTAATCTTTGGATTACAAATAAATTTTGGTGAGTAGATAAATTTCAAAATGCAAAATTGGCAAATTAGTGGGGCTCAGCTATATTCTTGTTACTGATTTCTCCATGCCTATCCCTACATTCTTCAGAAGTGAAAAGAAACTTCTTTAGCTGTGCAGATTTTCCAGAACTCTGAAAAAGGATATGCCTGAGGTTAGGCAAACATTGGTATAGAATATTTTACATTAGTTTTTTTTTTTTAATTTATTATTAAAAGTATGGAACACTTTACAAATTTGCATGTCATTCTTGCTCACGTACCATGTTAATCTTCTCTGTATCGTTTAATTTTAGTGTATGTGTGCTGAAGCGAGCACTTAGGTTAATTTTATGAGTGAATACCATCATTAAATATTGAGAGAAATTCAAGACTGAATTTTATATGGGAATATATGTAAAAATTGACATTATTTCTCATTTTGTGCATATGGTGAGAGTATTAAATGTTTCATGTTCCTTAAAATTAGGTTTTAAATGGCATAAAATACAACCTTTATGTTTGTATCTAGCTAAGAATATTGTAGTAATCAGAATAGACACTAGATGGCTCTCGCAGATCACTTGAGAGCTACTAGGAACTCAGCTGTAACTTGTTATATTACTGTAGAATAAAATCCATGAAGATATAGCCATTTAGTTTTTCTTTATATCTCTGGTAGCACTCAGCAAATTGCCTATGACCAGTGCATTTTTAATTGTAGGTATGTTGTGAGTTTAAATTGTTTAATTGGAAAAATAAGTAATGTGTCAAGATTGAGCATGAAAGGCAGTTATAGCAGAGTGGCTAAGAGTGTAGGCTTTTAAAATTTCAGAAATGGGTTTGAATTATAACTCTACGTATCTTTGGTTAAGTAACTTAAGGTTCCTGTACTCAAATTTCTTCATCCATCAAATGGAGATAGATAACTGTTGCTTTGTAACAAATCCACCCAAATTTTGCAATCAAAGACAACAAGCATATGTTACATCAAACAACTCTAAAAGGCATGAATCCAGTAGTGGCTTAGCTGAGTGTTTCTCAGGATGTCTGCTGAGGTTGCAGGGAGGATCTGCTTTCCAACCTGACTCCTGGAATGTTGGTAAGAGAATTCACTTCCTCACCACGTGAACCTGTTCATAGTGATACTCACGATTTGTAGCTGGCCTGTCCCCAGAGAAGTTGATATGGGAGAAAAGTGGGCAACCAAAATGGTATCCAATGTTTTTATAAACTAATCTCCAAAGTCACATACAATCACTCCCATCATGTTCCATAACACAAACCAGTCTTAAAGCAATATAAGAGGAGACAACAGTAAAGGTCTGATTACTAGGAAACAGGGATCATTGTAAGGTTACTTAGGCAGTAAGTGCATGTAAAATAGCATAAGGTATGGCACGTGGTAAGCATTCTCTTTAATAATGCTAGGAGTACATCAAAGTACCATCTCACATGTACTTAACAGAAGTAGAAACTATCCACAGTTGCCTAAAACGACTATGCCTATAGAGAACTGATATTCCCTCCTGTTTCAAGATTTTCTCCTGGTGACTAATGCCATACCTTTTACCTTTATTTGTAATAACTATGTATAGAGCAGAGACTTATCAACCCCTGCCTGTTTTCATTAACTGACCTATTTACAACCTATAGTTCTCACCTATCTCTCCATTCCTGAGTCTTTCAGGTAGGGTTGACTTCTAAAAAGATGCAAAATCAGCTCTGAGGAATTATCTTAGAGACCCCAAAAATGTAAGCTGGTATTTTCAGCAAATTGTGAAAACCCTGGGACATACTACCAATTATTGCTAGTTTTCTTCTTCTTTGTACTGGTATTTAATTCAGGACTTCATGCCTGCTAGACAGGCACTCTTCCTCTTGAACCATGCTTCCATTTCTTTTTGTTCTGGTTATTTTAGAGATAAGGTCTCATTATTTTTTCCCAGACCAGACTGGACCACAATACCCCTATTTTAGGGTTCCTACTATATCAGGGATGACAAGTATGTGCTACCGCACCCAACTGTTGGTTGAGATGGGGTTATATGCACTTTTTGCCCAGGCTGGCCTTCAAACCATGATCCTCCTGATCTCAGCCTCCAAAGTAGGTAGGATTATAATTGTGAGTCACCAGCACCCTGCTTATTGCTTGTAATTTACTCAGAAAATTGGTATTGAAGACCTACTATGTATGGTAGTAAATTGGCTGCTGAAGATTCAAGAGATGAATCATCTGTTCTCAGTGAAGTCTACCACTAGTGTAGGAGAAGTAAAAGACAAGTAACAATTATAATATTGTGTGATTAGTACAATACAGATGTCTGTGAGAGTACAGAAGAGGAACTCAACCCACATATGAAGCCTTAGAAAAAAGATTCCCAGAAGAGGCAATGTGAAATTGAATGTTAAAGGAATTAGCCAGATGGCAAATTATGGCTCTAGGTTTTTCAATCACTTAGTCATTCAGAATTCTCTTTTGAGTGTCTGCTATGCTCTGAGCATGTGCTAGGTGCTAGGAATACAAAACCTGGTAAGGCTGTGTCCACAGTGAGTCACAATGAGTTTTTTTCCTCTAGTAGAGGTAGAAGATAAGAAGACAAAAGTATGCAATAAATTGTAATTATTGTTATGAGGGTCACAGGTCAATTGTAGCTAGAGAGTACATACAGGAAAAACTCCATAGATAAAGGAGTCTCACTTGAAGTGAGTCCTGAAAGATGGATAGATGTTTGCTACGTGCCAAAGAAGGAGGGAATTTCCAGGCAGAATACACAGTGAGACAGTGGGCAAATCAAATAGCAAGGCTTAACCAGGAAAGTATTAGTGCTCTGTCAATGAATTAGAATTTAAGTCAGGTCATGAAAAACCTGCACGATGTATTGAGAATTATTTTGGTTTTTTCTAAGATGATAGGATCCCTTTGTGCACAAAATGGGAAATAATACCAATCTTACTTTATATTTATTCCCTTGGAAAATTCGGTCTTGAATTTCTGTCAATTCTGAACATTGTGTGATATTCATGAATCCATTAAGGTTTATAAGTAAATGAGTAATATGATCATACTATTTATATAGCCGGATCATCTGAGGTGCAATGTAAAGGATAGATTGATAGGGTTCAGACTGGGTGCATGGAGCCTGGGGAAATAGCTATTAAAGGAGCCTGGTGAGATATTACTCAGCAACAAGGCTATGGAAAGGGAAACTGGAGAAATAAGTAAGAAGAATAGACAGATTTAATTTAAATGTAAAAGGTGCAAAAGAAAGGGAAAGATTTATGAAGTCTCCACGTTTGGGGCTAGGATGATCAGATGGATGTTCATCCCATTCACTATGAGAGTGGTAACATGGAAGAAGGGCAGAATTAGGAGGAAATAGGGAATGGGTTTTCTGTATGTTGGATTTGCAGTGCCTTTGGGTCTCCTGCAAGTGGAATAATTTATTGGGTAAACCAGTCCAAAAAAAAAAAAAACAAAAACAAAAAAACAACCCTGATCCTGGCACTGGTAATTTTAGGTCAAGTTAGTCTTCTGACCTTAGTTTTCTCTGAAAGTCTATTATAGTTGCTTTTTCGTTACAGTAAGATGCTAGAAAAGTAAAATTGAGGATTTTAAGTTGATAAATTAAATTTGGTGAAATAATACTTTAAGTATCCCTATAAGAAAGGCCTAACTTGTATTATACAGACAGGACACCCGCACGTAATGAGCATACTATTTAGAAATGACACAGGAAATTCTGCATTGTATGATGGCTATCATGGAATCTTTTCCTGACCCCTTATTTCTGGATTAGATGTATGTCATATATACTCCTGTATAATCCTCTAATGTCACCTTTCTAATGTTGCTCTTATTACACTTATTTATAACCTCACGTAAGGGTAGACACTTTTGTCTTGTTCATTGTCATATCCTTGTCGTCCAACTGAGTATGTAGTACATATTACATAGTAATATCTGTCAAATGATAGACTGTTACATGATTTAAAAGTTGTCTCCTTCCACGTGTTATGCCTTACCCTAGGTAGCCCATTTTAAGATTCTGGTATATAATTTGACTGTTTTGTTCCTTACAATTTTTATACACACATGTACATATACACATGATACACATAGTGTATGCCGTTATTTTACAGTTTACGATTATCTGATGCACAGTTGCTTGTATTTTTTTACCTAGTAAGCCCCATGGATTGCTTCAGATCAACTGGTTTTATTTCATTTATTCTTTCTAAATGATTCTATAAAATTCTATGGTGTGGGTCTCCAATAATTTGGTTAGTCGCTTTTCTATTGGTGGGGTATTTACTTTATTACTATTTTCCTTGTATTAATGATAGAGTAAATATCCACATACATATCTTAAATACATTGTTACATTTTATACTTATGGAATAGCTTCCCAGGAGCAGTTACTGGATTCAAAGGCAAATTACGTCTTTAATTTAAGAGTAGATAATTCAGCCAGGTGTGGTGGCACACTCCTGTAATCTAAGCTACTTGGGAAGCAGAGATGAGGAGGACTGCAGTTCAAGGCCAGCCAAGGAAAAAAGTTTGCAAGACCTCATCTCAATAAGCAAGCTAGGAATGGTGGTGCATACCTGATATCCCAACTATACAGAGGGCATAAGTAGGAGGATTACCATCTAAGGCTATCCCTGAGTAAAAAGTAGAGACCCTATCTGAAAAAATGCCTAAAGCAAAAAAGGGCTGGGACCATGGTGCACAATGGTAGAGCACATGCCTAGCAAGCAGGAGGCTCCAAGTTCAAACCTCAGTATTGCCCTCCCCCAAAAAAAGATAATGCCAAGTAGCTTTCTTAAAAATTTAAACCAGTTTATTTTTATAGGCAATTCATTAGAGCTCTTTCTCTGTGTCCCCTGCTGAAGTTGTGTTTATTACTTTCTTTTTTTTTTTTCTTGGCAGTTCTGGGGTTTAAACTCAGGGCCCTGTGCTTGCTAGGAGATGCTCTACTTCTTGAGCTG